AAAGATTTTGAAATATTAAAGTTTCTAAACACAAAAATTTCTAATATTGGCACGTTCGTCACTTTTAAACAAACATCTGCAGGAACGCCAACTTCGCAAATTCCTCTGCAGCGCCAGCAATTCTATTTCACCTACCAGCTTAATTTATTCCCGCGGAAAGATCGCAAGTTTCGAATATTCCTTTTCCTTTCGCGTAGATTTACAAGTGCCACAGTACGCAGAAATGCAGGATTTTTAGGGGAGCGTTTTCTGCGGCAGTTACTTCGATTGTTCGTCGACACATTCCAACCGCCGTTGTTGTAGTTGTGAATACATACGTATATTCGAAGGTGCATACAACTAAAACGCACAGCATTGTTCCAGCGAGACTATCGGCATTCGAGCTGTGTACATCCAATTGAACTGGCCGAGAAGCCGGGGTGAGGTGGCAACCCCTGGCTGTAGTCGCATTGTACTCTCTCTCCATGGTTGCGCGAAGTTTGATTCTAGGTCAGCGGGGCTTAATGAGAAATTACTGGGTTTATATGGGGTCTTGTTACGTTCAAACTGATAGATTGAATCAGTGGCACGTGGACAGATTTTTGGGAAAAGTTAAGGGGATTAACCTGTTGCACGTCGAGAGCCTGCTTTATCCATTTTCATTTAAATCGTTGAATATAATTGTCTCTGTTCTCCTGCAATTCTACCACGATAATTCTCTGGTGTCGCCTAATTTTTAATTATTGAGAATAGATTACATTTGGAATTTTTACTTTCCTACTGCGAGTTTCTCTGCTTAACGTATGGCCCAGGCCGGGCCATAAAAGCCCATGGGTCCGCTGACCGTGGGGCGATGCCGAGTGTGTAACAAATGTTTTTCCGCATTTTAAGTAATCGTGCGACAACCCCGAACTGAGTAACTGTTTTTTCACTCGGGTTTTCGCCTCGGTTTTTTTTTTTTCTTCATTTCTATCAATAAACGTTTTTTTTTTCTGCAGTCGATTGAGTCAATTCGCTAATTAAAGATCCTCAATATTAAACGTCACAATTGGATAAAATTTCGTCTGAAAGAAATTCTAAAATTCGATTTCAGTTTATCAAAATTTCAAGAAATATTTTCTCGTCGATCGGGAAAGACCAACTTTGGCTAATATGAAGTTACAATTCCATAAAATTTCCTTATTTATTTACGACGATAATTTAGAATTTAAAGAAATAGTAAAATTCGGACGATTTGTTCAAGTTTAAAGAAACATTTCCTCTTCGATCAGGAGGATTAATACGAGATACAAAAATCGAACGTGTCATTTATAAAAATAATCTGTGAATGATTTTATTCTAAACTGTTTTTCCTGGCACTTCCAAGAAACACCGCGATTATGTCGCAATAATACCGGCTTAATCTTGTTTTTTATTCGCGCGGGGATGATCCTGAACGTAAGGTTACGCGTAATACTCCGATAGGCTGCGTTTATCCGGCGACATTCCGGTGACATCAACAATTTGTTCGTTCTCGTCGGATCGTCGATGATCCCATCCTTACTTCTTCTCTCTTTTTTTTCTTCGCCCAGTTGACCTAATTAAGCAATTACGGCCGGCCAGTGGATTACTATCGTGCCACACGAATTCAGCCGTCCGGCATGAAAACAAAACCACAACGATGTATACACGGTGGCGTAAAAAACCATCGGAATCGTCCAATTGGTGTAAAGTCCAATTGGATTATCGACGCTCGTTCAATTGCACGTGCGATTGCAGCACGACATTATTATCGGCGGTAATGTCCACCCGTGGACCGGCGTCGAAACATTATGATCGGCCGATTTCCAATTCAACCCACCCTATAATTGATGAACGTGTTACGTCGAACACGTGTCACGAGGATAATACAGTGGACGATGAATATTTGGAGGGAGAAAAAGGAGAGAAAATGGGTCGTGCGTTGAAAATATTCGTAGGACTGCTTGTGACCTGATTTTCATCTGCACTCGGAGGTGATTTTGCTTTAAGAAAGGTTGCAAATCGGATCTTTGAAATTTTTTAAAACTCACGTAGAAATAAACTGTGCGATTTTATTTAAATATTCTACGCATTCTGTATTTCACTGCGGTGAACAAATTCATGGAGACCCATAGACCTGTTCTCTGTCTCGATTCATTATTTACCAATTAATGTCGCTTCTCAGTCGCCACTCGATTGCAAAGGGTTAAATTATTCAGTGCGGTGCAAATGGAAGTCGAATTTAGATCTCTCTTTCGCAAATTCATGAATATTTTTTAGAGGATCTATCTCGTATTTTAAAAATTCTCGAGGAACTTTAATTAATGCACTCTGTGATACGATCTTTATTAATCCCGCCACGTCGCAACTGTCTGTGCAAAAATCTCGCTCTAACGAGACTTCGTCTCATTTATAATAACATTAATAGTAATAATAAATCGTCTCTGCGGTCTAACGAGACCGCGTCTCATTTGCAATAATAAATTGGCGAATTAAAAATTGTGTCTATTCTTCTTCCACGTAGAATTCGCCACTTTGTAACAGCGGAGCACGCAGCAGGGCCGCCCGCCTAATGACGAATAGCTTTCTAATCCGACATCGTCCCGAAACATAAATTCCCCGAAATTACCTCATCCATATTCATCGCTCCAAGGTAGGAGAAGAAACGAAACGCGAAAGAGTAATCAGCATGCACGGTGGTCGAGAACGGCGGGAGCAATCAGTCGCATTAGAGATTCTCTTTCATTAGCGACGCCAGAAATCGGGGACGTAGACAGGCTTTGCCAACCTTGTGGCATGCAAAGAAGTGCACTACCCTCTCGGCGACTTAAGCGAGTTCCGTGAGTCGTTCACGAGGCTTCCGACGACACAGGTGAGCAACCTGTCTTACCGGGTCATGATTCGTTCTTAAATGTTTTTCACCTAACAATACCTGGGCTACCGCTGAGTTTGGTTCGCGAGTTAACGCTCGGATGGCGAATTGTTTTGGACGTAAGCGGGACAACGAGTGCAGGGTCATTTGCAAAATTTCTATTGTACACGGGTTTCGAGAAGGAATTGTGTATAAATGTGTATACTTTTGACTGTATATATTTTTTCGTGTTTATTTACATTCGATACGTAGGGAGGAGGTGTATGTATTTCCTGTACCAAACGTGATCTGAGCTGCCTGACTCGAAAGATTGGGGACTTGAAAATATGAAGACTCGGAAATTTGAGGGTTCGGAAAAATTGAGGACTCGGAAATTTGAGGGATTGGAAAAATTAAGGACTCGAAAATTTGTGGATTCCAAAATTTTAGGACTCCGAAGATTGAGGACTCGGGAAATTTGAGGACTCCGAAATTTGAAGGCTCGAAAAATTGAAAACTCGCAAATTTGAGGGCTCGGAAAAATTAAGGACTCGAAAATTTGCATATCAAAAATTTGAGGAATCCAAAGATTGAGAACTCGAAAGATCGAGGACTCGGAAAATTTCGGGTCAAACTTGGTTCTACGCGGTATATTATTTCCGTTTGCGTGGAAAATATGGACGCACGGCGTAATTGAATGAAAAATTTTCTCAGAATATGCCCCGTCTTGGAAGGAAACCGCGGTTTCGTAAGCACGAGCAGAATTTTGTTACGCGGCGGTGTTTGCAGAACATCCCGGTCTAACAAAGCAAGCCATGCAATTAAGTTAAATAAGATTAATGCCCGGCGTGATGCAACAACTTCAATGGCGCGGCGTGTATATGCCGCCCTGGCGCAAATTCGTC